TTAATTTAATTTATAAAAATTGTTAATTAAACTTTAAAATTTTAGAAATATATTATTTGGATGAATATATTTATTATAAAGATATTATTAGAAAAAAAAATGTATTTAAACAATTGTTCTATTAAATTATAGCTTAAAGTTAAAGGTTCAAAAATTATTGAATATGATAAACTTATCAAAATCTTTTGTAGTAATAATTAAAAACTTCAAGCTTCTTTGGGTGAAGTATGATTAATTGATTAATCTTTTGAAATTGATTTGATTTTTCCATACCAAATTATCAGTCACATTAACATTTCTTTTTCAAATAGTGGAGATAATGAATTTTCTAATTACTTTGTAAGTAAAATTCTTTACAAGTTCAAGAGATATTGAAAAATTCAAAATATTTCACTAGAAGATTAATATTTTGCTAAATATATCTTTATTACTTCATTACCAAATTCTGAATTTCCAGTTTTCAACCTATTTGTTGATTTATATTATGATTATTTTAGAATGTATCGAAATGTATACCATTCTCTTGAAAGAGTTTACATCCAATTTGATAATATGCCTATATTTATAAGAAAGTTATTGAAAAATTATTTTTTTGGAGGGATTTGTACCTTTCGACAAAAACTTTAATGAGTTTATTTAACCTTTTATTATAGAATAAAGGTTCTAGAATATAATCAAATTATAAATGTCCAAGAACAAGATTGTTGGATAATTGCAGGATTAAGAGTGATTACAACTGATATTCTGTAAAGAAATAGTCTTGCAAGCACTAAACAGTATGGGACTAATAAAGAATTCAGAACTTGCCAAATTTTCAAGGATTAATCAACAAGTGATAACTTAGATATTATGGAATTAAGAAAATATTGACATATTACTAATAAACAATTCCAATAAATTTTATCAACAATTACTTCATAAAAAAACAAACAATTAATGACAAAATATGGATTATACAACAAAATTTCAATATTAAACCAATTAATATGAAACCAACCAATACCTTCAAATGTTACATGATGTTTATCATGCAATTGCAGGAAAAATAATGAGGCTTTTGAAGTTAACAGTAAGCTTATTTTCACTTGAGAGTCAAAGAATATTTATTAAAACTTGGAAGAAATTTGAGCATTCAATACAATAATCATTATTGTTTAATCCAATAAATTACTATAAAAGTTTTATAATGTCTAATTACCTTTGACTATCAATGGTTATACTATTTATTCTTAATTGGTTCTTAAAAACTTCTCATTTTAAAAACAATGAATTGATGAAGATTTAGTAATAAATATATGCTAATCATATTGATTTGATTCCAAAGTCTTTAATAAAATGCTGGATCTTGATTTCCAAATTAATAAGATTAATATTTAAGAATAAATACTTTGAAAAAGATTATGAGAATCTTCAACAAAGCTTAGAGATGGAATAGAAAATTCTAGTTTAAGTAATTAAATTTTATTAGATTTTTTTATAAATTACTATTTATTAATAAATAAATATTTTTAGGTTTTTGAAGAATTTAAGAATATTTGCAATCTTCACATCAATTATTATTTACCATTACATATACAAATCTTTACCAATCTTATTAATATCTATGTTGGCATAAAAGAAATAATCCATCAAATTTTTAAAGGCATGGTACTATAAATCAATTATAAAAATGTTGAATTGAACTTAGTAAAAAAATACACATTATTTGCTATTCAGTATTTAATTGATAGTGAAATTGACAGCAGGCTCTTGAGTAATAGTTAATATTTTGCAAAGTAGTTTATTGCTAATAAATACTTTGATTATAATAAAGGTAATAATATCAAAGATTAATTATTGTAATTTAAATAAATGTTTAATCAATATTGCTAATTAAATATATTAATTTTTTTAGTTTATTCACAAGTGAAATATATTTCTAACATCAACTTGAAAAAAAAATTCTATAATAAAATCTTGAAAAAATAATATTATGTCAAGTAAATAGTTCGGAATTTAGATTAGAACTATTACTTTCTTATTGTAATTTCAGAAATTACTTGGTTCTTATTAATAAAGCAATAAGTTTCTATAAGAGTGTGCCTTATTTAGAAAATAATAACAATAACATTTCCAAGAAATATTTGTTATATCTTGAAGATATTATACTGTATCTATCAATATTAGTGAAGAAAGTGAAAATTATGCAAAGATTCAAGCAATTTTCAATTATGAATATAACAATAGATATGTTTATGCCTTTATTGTGATTAATTAATTTGAAAAAATCAAACAAACAAATGAAATGCTAGAATATTCAATTTACAAGATTCAATTCACAAAAAATAAAAGTTGATAATGAATTTATCTGTTAATGATGATTTATCAGATAAAGAGAGTTAATTTTGTTTACAATTGTATATTTGGAAAGTGCATTGATGATTATGATTTATCAAATATATATTATTTTAAAAATAATTATTTCTTTAATGTGATTTAATAGATATATAATATATATAATAGTAACTATTTTACTGTCCAATCAAAATTACATTACTATTTAATTGTAATAAACTTGTAAATACATCATTGTATAATTATAGCTATGGTTTCGAAAATTGGAATCAAATAGAATTGAACAGAATCACATGAGGTTCGGAACACTATTAAAAATGATAGTGGGGTATACCCTACCTATTAAATTTAATATAAACTTAAGAATCGAATACAGAATCGAAGAGAATCGTTAGGATCCTTAATTATAGCTTAATTGCAATAAATTCATAATTACATCAATATCTAATTTCAATAAATTCACAATTACATTGTTACTTAATTGTGATTATATTGTTTGTCCAATTATTATAAGATGATTCTACAAATAAATCAATATATAATAATAATCAAATCACTATAATTTTGTAGTGATTTGCTAATGACTTAGTAAAAAATTCAAAATTTCTTAATTGCTACTTAATTGGAAAGATTTGGTAGCAAAATAGTTACTATTGCTATAACTGAATTGGGACAATTTTTTTACAAATACTGTGACTATTTGATGATGTCTTTGTGGTAATTTGATAAAGTTTCAGTAGTGGAATAGCAAAAAAATAAGCACTTTCAGTAAAGTATGTCCCATATGAGAACAAAAGTACGATCTTGTAAAAGAGCTGAAATAAGGAATCAGTTACTTATTGTTATAAAATCCTCTAATGAACAGAAATCTTTTATAGATATATAGAATTCATATGAATAGAGTAGGCTAGTCTACTCATTTTTCTTATGTATATATTTGTTTATTGTAGACTATCCAAAGAGTTGGATTCCATTTTCTTGAGCCACCTTTCAATAGAATGAGTATAAATCATCTGAAGCAGTTTCGAAATTATTATTTTGAACAGCTTCAATGACTTTTTTTCTGCTCCCAGTACCATTTGTATAAATTTGTAAATATGTCTTTTTTTCTGTATAATAATCTTGAAAAGAAAAAACTTTAATATACTCTATTTTAAATAATTTCATATTGCCAGAAAAAATTTCTTTTACTTTTATTTCGCATTTTTCTGAAGTTTCTTTGTATAGTACGAGAATATCAAAGAAAACCTAAGTGGAATTTCTCAACAACTGGATAAAGTACTGTCAAGGATTGCAATTAATCCCTCATTATTTTCCGCAACTATATCATTCAGTGTTGGAATACCTAACAAATATTTTTCACTGGAATAGCAGAGCAATTGTCCTGATTTTTCATTTTCTGAAATCTGCAATTGAGAAAAAACTTTGCTCCTGGATAGTAGAATGCCTTGCTATTTTCTATTGCTTCGCAATGGCTCGAAAAGTCTTCCTCTATCTCTAGCTCAAAATTTTCTAAATTTTCCAGACTCTTTGATCAGAAAGGTAGTTCTTCTACTTCTGCTAACACATAATTGATATTTTTTTGGAAATTTTGAGTATGAATAGTTGGTATAATTAGATTGTTTTTATAATATATTATCTTAATAAAAAAGTTTAAATCAAAAATAATTATTGAATATTTTTGCCTAAGATAATATTATATGAAATCAAGTAAGTTTCAATAAATAATAATTAATAACAGGAACTTATATTTGTTAGTATTCTACTAATGGAGGAAGATCTGTGGTCGACCTTGCTATTAGCAAGAAGGATGCACTATTTATTGAAAAAGACATCAATGCGTCCCTTGTTTAACATACAATAAACCAACTGCTGCTAAGTATAGCCTATATAATTTATATGCAAATAAATGTTATACAAAAGCCTTTTATTATTGGAATAAGCTATCTAAAATGGTACAGAACAGACAAACAATAGAATCTTTGACACAGATCCTCGACAAGACTAAATTGTTTCTAGAAAAAACTAGCTCTAGAAAAAAAAATTAGCTGAGATTGGAAATAAGGTCAATAATTTAATAATTTTCAGATTATAGAACCTTTTTTCAAATAACTGTCCCTAGTGCCCCAGCAGACCTAGCTAAATCTCAAATTTCTTATTTTTTATTTTTCTCTATCATACTGTCATATATCGTTTCTACCTCAGGAGAAAGATAAAGACGGAGAACTAGTAGCAGGGAAGCACTTTAGATGGACAGGGCCAATGTGGTATGCTAAAGTTCCTAGAGGCGTACCAATTAGTACAGTTCTGAGATGTATGAGGTCAGGCGAAAGAGACAATAGTGATTTGTTTTGTAAAGGTCAAGATATTTATTCGATAAAATATATGTTCAAGCCTGCCAATTCCTAGGCAAAATTG